GAGACCTGCTGGAGAGAGTCCAGTGCAGAGTCCACAAAGATGAGTAAGGGAGTGGAGCATCTCCCTTATGAGGAGAGGCTGAGGGAGCTGGGACTCTTTAGCTTGGAGAAGAGGAGACTGAGGGGTGGCCTCATCAGTGTTTACAGATATGTAAAGGGTGAGTGTCAGGATGATGGAGCTGGGTTTTTTTCAGTGATGTCCAGTGATAGGACAGGGGGCAGTGGGTGTAAACTGGAGCCTAGGAGGTTCCATGTGAACATCAGGAAAAATTTCTTTACTGTGAGAGTGACAGAGCACTGGATCTAGTGTGTTATCTAGGTGTTCCTGCTCCGGCAGGGGGATTGGACTAGATGATCTTTTGAGGTCCCTTCCAATCTCTAGCATACTGTGATACTGTGAACAGGTTGCCCAGGGGGGTTGTGGAGTCTCCTACGTTGGAGATATTCAAGGTCCGCCTGGACAAGTTCCTGTGTGATGTACTCTAGGTTACCCTGCTCTTGCAGGAGGGTTGGACTAGATGATCTTTTGAGGTCCCTTCCAACCCTTGGGATTCTGGGATTCCCTGTGAGGGTGCTGAGGTGCTGGCACAGGGTGCCCAGAGAAGCTGTGGCTGCCCCATCCGTGGCAGTGTTCAAGGCCAGGTTGGACACAGGGGCTTGGAGCAAGCTGCTCTAGTGGAAGGGGTCCCTGCCTGTGGCAGGGGTTGGAGCTGGAGGAGCTTTAAGGTCCTTTCCAACCCAAACCACTCTGGGATTCTGTGACTTGTGGCAGAGCAATGGGGCTTCATTACAGCCTTGAGAAATAGGGGATAAATTGTAACTATTTGAAAATAATCTCTCAGCTAAAATCAGGGCTGTGTTTTAGGGTCACATCCTGCTTGCAGCAAGGACCGATGCAGTGAAGTCTGCAGGTCTCGTAGCCAGGTCTGTTAGGTTGGCAACACAACTTACTACATGGGTTGGAAAAGGCTTTTAGGTTCCAGAGTCAAGCACTGTCCATGTTGGACACAACTAATTCACATGTGGCAGTGAAAGGTGTGGTGTGATGGGATCCCTGCATGGGGATGGGTTTATCAGCATGATTCAAGTCTTAAGATCGCTGAATAATGATTAGTGGCATGTGCTCTAGATGGTCCAGGTAAGCAGGCACTCTTCTGATAGGTATTTAATCACTTAAGTGATGTAAAGGTACTTGGATATAGGTATGAAAATGATGTAGCTGCTGAGCATCCAGATTTCAGAGTACTTCCATGGGATATCAGTGTCATTGCAATGTGAGCGTGGTTTGTTTGTTTTTCCATGCCTGCCAAAATCTTTCTAGGAACAGGATATAAAAGTGCTACTTGGTGACTTGTTCTCTCTGTTTTGATCTGGGCTTTGATGACAGCATGTTTGATTGCTCTTTTCATTCACTCGGGAGCCAGAGCCGTTACATTTTTATCCCTTTCCTGTGTGTCTTTTTGTGGGCACACAACTTGGGAGGATGATGATACTCATCAAGTGACTCAGCTAGAAAATAAGCTCTTGAAATTGTCCTTTAGAACAGGAACTACTGCTCTTTCTCGCTGGGAAACGCTACAGACGTCAAATCCTTCAGGTTCTTTCTGTGCCAAGCTTCCTGTGTGAATGTGGGGCTCCTTGTCACAGTTGTCAGAGGGCCACTGCAACTTCTTGCCTGGTTCTTACTTAGAGGTTTTGTCCTTCCATTGATTTATCATGCCAAGTTTATACCAAGGCCATCATATGCTGGAGGGAAGGGATGGGATCCAGAAGGGATGGACAGGCTGAAGAGGTGGGACTATGTGAACCTCATGGAGTTCAACAAGGTTCTCCCCTGGGTTGGGGCAATCCCAGCACAAACCCAGGCTGGGGGAGACTGCATGGAGCAGCCTGAGGAGAAGGACTTGGGGTGTTGGGCGAGGAGAAGCTGCCCATGACCCGGCTTCAGTGTGTGCTTGAGCCCAGAACCCCCCCGTGTGCTGGGCTGCACCCCCAGAGCGTGAGCAGCAGCTCAGGGAGGGGGATCCTGCCCCTCTGCTGGGCTCTGGGGAGACCCCCCCTGCAGCCCTGATCCAGCTCTGGGGCAGCAGCACAAGAGGGACGTGGAGCTGTTGGAGCAAGGCCAGAGGAGGCCATGGAGATGCTGCGAGGGCTGGAGCAGCTCTGCTCTGGAGCCAGGCTGAGAGAGCTGGGCTGGGTGAGCCTGGAGAAGAGAAGGCTCCTGAAGGGGAGACCTGAGAGCAGCTCCAGTGCCTAAAGGGGCTGCAGGAAAGCTGGAGAGAGGCTTTGGACAAGGGCCTGTAGGGACAGGCCAAGGGGAATGGCTTTAACCTGCCAGAGGGGAGACTGAGCTGAGCTCTTAGGCAGAAGCTCTTCCCTGTGAGGGTGCTGAGGCACTGGCACAGGGTGCCCAGAGAAGCTGTGGCTGCCCCATCCCTGGCAGTGTTCAAGGCCAGGTTGGACACAGGGGCTTGGAGCAAGCTGCTCTAGTGGAAGGGGTCCCTGCCCATGGCATGGGTTGGAACTGGATGAGCTTTAAGATCCCTTCCAACCCAAACCACTCTGTGATTCTTTGCTCTTCCCCTCTGTATCCAGCACTCCAGCTCTTCTCTGATATGTAGGTTTTCAGTCGTAATCACTTTCCCAATACCAAGTTCCCCCAGTCCTTCCTTCAGCCCCAGGGCTCTTTGTCACCTGCATGTTCTGGTTTTGTGCTCCTTCACTTCAGTCCTGTTTTAGTGTTCAGCTGTGAAACTGTTCATTTTGGCAGGGCAGATAAATAGAGGTGAAACGGGGTCATGGTTCTGTGGATGGTGCCCACTATCAGGTCTCTAATCTCTGGTTGTGCAGGTGTTCAAGTTACAGCTTTTCTGAGCAGATGTTGGGATTTCCATGTGTTCACACTTCATTTCAATTTTCAGCCATTCCCAAATTTCTGAGAAGTGGGGCTGCTGCATGGGACATTCCCTGGAATGCTGCAGTACCTGGAATAGTACTCAAAGGGTGTTGGATGAAGCTACGTAAGAGCTGCCCTTCAGGAAAATGCAGGACTCCAGCTGGCTGAACTCCACCAGAAGCCTTATCATGGTACCTACAGTGACTCATCCCATCTGACTCATGCCTCTTCCTCGGAAAGGCTGTCTTTGGGTATCTCACAGATGGCACCATGGTGTGGTTATATCTGATCCTTTGAAACAGCTTTTCTTTACGAGTAATGTTTGTATGTGTTATTATCCCTTAGCACAATGTCCTGGTGTTTTCTGCTCCACTTAGGTGTATTCTCTCAAGGTTTTAGAGAGCTGCTGTGTTACAACCCAGAGATGAAGGGTTCATATCAGTTTGAGACTATCACTCGGATTTAGAGGGGTTTATGTGCTTTCCATGGCACTGTTTTGACCACAACCTTTTCAGAATGGCTCTTGGGGAAGAAAGGTTCCATGTGTTGTTCCTTCCCTTATGTGAGATTGAAAAGAAGGCACAATGTGATGAAGTTCTTACAACAGTTCCTGAAGTGAGTGATGCAGGTCCCACTGGAACAAGGATGACACTTCACAAAGGAGATGTAGTCTGTTTGATTTAAACAACTCAACCCCAAAGCAGTTATATCTCCCATTTGTTACCTTTGGTGTGTTACAAGTTGGATTGGAAGTGTTGTAATGATTCTTCTTTTGTCCCACTTCAGTGAACTCTTGTCAAGAATTCTCTCTACATCCTGAACAAAAGTAAGTTAAAGTTATGCAGGTTCAGTGTTAGGCAGTGTTCAAAGCCAAGTTGGACACAGGGGCTTGGAGCAAGCTGCTCCAGTGAAAGGTGTCCCTGCCCATGGCAGAGGTTGGAACTGGGTGAGCTTTAAGGTCCCTTCAACTCAAACCAGTCTGGGATTCAATGATGGAAACACGAAGGTGAATTTAAGTTAAATATTGAATAGATTCACACAGATACTCAAATATTGAATAGAACAGTAAAAGAAATGGCATCTCAGTAACATTTAGGGTCCCAGCTCTTTATTCTGTGTCAAGAAACGCTCATGGGCCATCAGAAAAGCCATCATAAGTTACATGATCATAAATTCTGATCATAAAAGTTCTTGGCTTTACAGCTTTGAAAGTGTGTTTGCACAGAGGGATGGAAATGCTTTGAGAAAATAAAGGTACATGCAAAGAGCAGAGAAAGATACTTGAAAAGTTCATTTCTTCAAGCGTCTCCTCAACAAATGACAAATGAGGATGCTCCTGGCAGTGGGCACATAGAGTTGCATTAGTAATAACTGGGTTTGTGTTTTTCAAAGGTCATGCTGCTCACTAGCTTCTAGAATTGATGTTCTGCGAGTTTGCCACTTGGTGGTGCCAGATTGATTCATAAATCACAGATGTGAGCTGCGAGGAGACGGTGAAGCTGTATCTGAGGAGCGTACACAGAGGGAGGTACAATTTGGGTGGGAAACGTTGATTCTGTGATGGTGCTGATGCAGTCGTACTCTGCAGCAGCTCTTTCCTCCATCCCTCAACCCCATATCTCCAGGCCTTAATCTGTCCCTGCAGTACTTACAGAGTAAGTATTTAGGATAAAGCTTCTGGAGTGTTTCAAGCAGAGGTTGGATTCAGTGATGTCTTGGTTGTGGGGCAGAAGACGGCTTTGGGTTTATGGGGGCAGCTGCAAGCGTGTTGCTTGTGGTAGTACTTTTGTAGGTGGCTTCACTGGTATAGTTCTTGTCCAGTTGGTTGAATTCTGCCACAACTTGTACATCTTTATCATTCATACTTATTTCCTTGATATAAGGAAGGACAATGATCATCGTAAGTGAAAATCCAACGGGATTAAATTAACCTTCCCCCATCCCTCAGTTGTGGGGATGCTTTTCAGCAGAGCTCAAGTCACTCTGTTCAATCAGAATGTCTCTGTCACAGTGTTTTGGTGTTATTGGTGTTCAGCATTGAAGTGTATTTTCACCAGCCTTCATAACGTCTTTGTTTTTTCTCTCTCTTTCTCTCAATGCTGCAGTTCCAAAAGAATTGGTGGAGCTTCACTTGAAACTGATGAGAAAGATTGGCAAGTCTGTCACAGCAGACAGATGGGAAAAATATTTGATCAAGGTACAATGTGCACGTTGGATGATACTGCAATGCTGGAGTGTGGTTGGGATGACCTCTGAATGAGCCTTGGGCTGTGTCGTGGTCAACACTGTGCAAGCCCAGGTGTTAGTTGTGGAAGATCCCAGCTTAACTTTGAGTAACCAGACAGTATTTCTGCATGTGCAAGAGTGGACACCTTCATACCTGGTTGTAAAATACTTCTTTGAGCATTAAGACCCTAAATAAGGAGGTTTTGTAGCCTGCAAACTAAGTCTAGCAGAGATTTACACAGGAACAATTCACTTGTCTGTCAGTCATCTGGCTATGATTTTAGTACTGTGATTTGGTTGGTATTTACCCAGGAACTCACCACACAGGTTTTGCAGCATGTGTTAATAATAAATGAAAGTATTGTGGTGATTGATATCTGTGCACTCAAAAGGATGAAAATGTAGTTATGTATCTATAAATCCAGCATCCCCTTGTTTTGTATTGGGAGTTTAATTGTGGCTCTGCCATTGATGGCACTTTACAGGCATAGTTTTCAGTTTAAAGTGTTTACAGTGCTTCAGAAAATAGAAATAGATACTCAAAATTAACGGGTTACCATTTCCCCCTTGGGTATGTTCTATATGTCTTTTAATCCACAAAAACATAGTCTTAGTATTGTCTGTGCAGCCATGATTGCATCTTACTTAGAAACACAGCATTATGGTAAGACCGATGACACAGATAATGGTAAGTGGCAAATCCAGATGCCTTTTGGTCCCTTAAGTGTTGTCCCTAAGTTTTACAGAGCCAGGGATTCATCTTAAGGTTCATGCAGTGTTAAGATGGTGATGCTTTTAGGACTGGGATTATGTCAGGAATTAACCTTCTGAAGGGCGTGGGGTTAAATGTAACCTCTTAACCAGTTGTAAAGCATTCATAATGATGTTTTAGAAGAATAATGTAATAATTTATGTAACTTGTGTGTACTTCACATATTACTGCAGTTACTGAATTGTGTTGAATTCCTTAATAAACTAAAAAGCCATTGCAGCAAGCTGAGAAAAACCGAGTCTGACATATGTCATCTGCTGAAGCAACTTAGCACTTGTGTGGTGAGCAGAAAGCAGAGGGATAAACCAAGGTTACAAGGGCAAATCTTCTTCAGCAGGCACTGAAAGGATGGGAAGTGGTGAGGAAAGCCTCCCACCCCCCCTGTGAAGACCAAGTAAGAAATTCCACTTCATTTAACAGTCTCCAGAGCTAGCTTGAAGCTTAGTCTAGGCAATGGTTCAAAGAAACATTGAAGAACAAAGGAATTTGAAGGTAGCTAGAGAGGTTTGCTAATGTTGTCCTCATTTCAAAGGGATATAACTAAATTAGAAAACCAATGGAGTATTGGGAAAAGCCACAAAAACCGAACCATTGGGAACCATTGTGGAACCATTGGGAGCACTTTCCTAGATGCCTGCAGGTTGCTCACTGTATTATTGACATACTCTAATGTTGACCTGCTTTTCCTTTGCTAAAACCCACTAATGTGTTGCTTTGATAAAACCGGGGTTGATACATTCTATGTGTGACTGGTTTTGTGTCTTAAGGTGGAAACTTTAAATGCAGAGCATTCAAATTTAAATGCTCTTCATATTTATGCACATAAATAGTATTAATATGGGTTTTATATACCAGCTCTTTATAGATATGCTTCATTTGACTGCCATGCTTGCGAAGAGCATGATAAAAACAATGTTTCTAAGCTGTGGCTGGTATTTTGACTGATGACTGTATGTTAGGGTAGGAAGGGAGCACTGCAGCTGAGTCTTCTGATGGTGAACCACCCAGCTTGGCTCACCAGCATCCACACAAGTCTTGTTTGGAAGAAGATGGCTCTAGGATCTAAATGAGCTGTACTTACAATAATATAAAATGCTTATCAAGCAGCTTGGAAGAAAATAGCTCTTCTCCTCTGTGCAAGGAGTATGTATGGGCATATCTTTTCAAGACTAGGTTGGGCGAAGCCTTGGGTGATATGGTTTAGTGTGAGGTGTCCCTGCCCATGGCAGGGGGGTTGGAACTTGATCTTAAGGTCCTTTCCAACCCTAACTGTTCTATGATTCTCTGATTCTCTGTGGGGCTGAGGTAGAGAAGTGGCTTCTCCTAAACATGTGAACAGTGAAGAGGAACTGTTCAGTTGAGCTCTTTGGGAAATGAGCAGTTGAGCTAATTCAGGTTGTGCTGTCTCCTGGCAAAAGGCCTTACAGAGGGCTGGAGCAGCTCTGCTCTGGAGCCAGGCTGAGAGAGCTGAGCTGGGTCAGCCTGGAGAAGAGAAGGCTCCTGAAGGGGAGACCTGAGAGCAGCTCCAGTGCCTAAAGGGGCTGCAGGAAAGCTGGAGAGGGGCTTGGGACAAGGGCCTGTAGGGCCAGGCCAAGGGGAATGGGTTTAACCTGCCAGAGGGGAGACTGAGATGAGCTCTTAGGCAGAAGCTCTTCCCTGTGAGGGTGCTGAGGCGCTGGCACAGGGTGCCCAGAGAAGCTGTGGCTGCCCCATCCCTGACAGTGTTCAAGGCCAGGTTGGACACAGGGGCTTGGAGCAAGCTGCTCTAGTGGAAGGGGTCCCTGCCCGTGGCAGGGGGTTGGAACTGGATGAGCTTTAAGGTCCCTTCCAACACAAACCAGTCTGGGATTCTATGACTTGGCCTTTGTCAAGCATATCCTGCAGTTTTATACGGATAAGGTTTACGTGGACTGCTCCATCTGGCACATTCAGCCCCAAAACTGGCACGTTTTGAGCACAATGTCTTTTCTGGCTGTTAAAATTCAGGTGCCTGTAGTCCAACCCAGGCCTTGCTGGTTTTGCTCTTTACAGTGAACATTAGGAACATGGCAATAGTGTCAGATGCCATCGTAGCTGCTTTGGAAATAACCTGAGAGGTGTTTCAAGTTCTCTTTAGCTGGATGGGATGGCTTTGACCACTCCTTAGTGCGCAGAAGCTCATGCAAGCAGCAGCTCTTTACCACTGTGAGAAGTCCCCTCTCTGAAGGCAGAGATGAACATGTCATCAGAGCCTGACTCAGTGAGATCCATAGTTCAGGGTTGTGACAGTGCTTGGCAGGAGGAAGCACAATCATCTGGGGTTTAATTGTCAAAACGTAGTCTTTTCAGGTTGAACAGATGCTTCAGCAGCAATGATGCCTCTGAGCTTCTGCTTTGACAGCCACACACTTCCACTGCATGTGAAACTTCTCATTGCTTTCATACTTGATGAGTGAGTAATGAGCAGTGACTGGCACATGCCCTCAGCAAGGGATTGATATACAGCTCCCAGTGTTCCTCATGTTACACAGCTGAGAATGAGACACAAAGCAGAGTAACCCCATTTTGTGAGTGAGGAGGGATTGTTTCTTGCTGTCAGCATTGGCTTTGCATCAGAGAAGTGCTCACATAAGGCTCTTTTGGTGCAGGAAACATGGCCCTCCAGCAGGATGCACTGTGACCTGAGAGCACTCTTCACAGTTCTCTGTAGGCCATAGTTTAAAGTCAGAGCATGATTTATGGTGTGGGTGAGCTGATCTGAGTGCAGGCTTACCCATGGGTCACTGAAGAAAAGGTGTTGGTACTAAGGCTAGCAGAGGGTAGGTAGCACAGCCTTGGGGTTATAGCCCACATGGAGTTTTACAACATGAATCAGCTGAGTTCTACTGGTGGGTGAAATTTAGGGTTATTTTGGCAGCTGTGTCCAGAGAAAGGTGCTTTCAGGTGTGATTTACAGGTTTCCAGGTAGCTTAGTGGCTGTATCTTGTGTTTAAAAATCATTTAGTGGTTGGGAGACCACAGCCTTGACTGAGTCCATCAGGCAGGGCCTTACTTCCTTGCAGGCTGAAGGGCAGCACCAGCAGCTCGTGTGCTAATCTGAACAGTCATTCAATAGAAGCATTTGAGAATAATCTTGACTGGAGACTGATCAGCTTTTGCCTCCTTCCAACTGGTGTTTCCGCTGGAATAGCCTCACCATGTGTCCTCAACTGCTGAACAGCTCTTCCCTGTTCATGTCTGAATTGTTTAGGAGAGGGGAATTCCTTCTGCACCATGACTGCTGGAGCTTCTGCTGAGTCAATCTGCTTGTACTCTACTGCCACTTTTTTTGTTTGGTTTTTCCTTATATTGGTGTCATTGAATTTATTTGCTTGAAGTAAACAGAAATTGGCCACGCTTCTCACTCTACAAGTGCCTGACAGGAGGATGGAGCCAGGAGGGGCTGGGCTCTGCTCCCAAGGAACAAGGGATGGGACAAGAGGAACCGGCCTCAAGCTGCACCAGGGCAGGTTTAGATGGAGCTGAGGAACAATTCCTGCCCCAGAGGGTGCTCAGGCATTGGAACAGGCTGCCCAGGGCAGGGCTGCAGTCACCGGCCCTGCAAGGGTTCACACCCCATGGAGACGAGGCCTCAGTGCCATGGGGCAGTGGTGGCCTTGGCATTGCTGGGGTGAAAGTTGGACTGGATGAGCTTAAAGGGCTTTTCCAACCCAGTTGATTCTCTGATGATTCTGTACATTAAAATATTGATCAAGCAGCTTGAACCCTGGTTTATTTTCTAAAGAATCATAATTCCAGAGTGCAGAGTGAGTGTCAGTGGCATTTATCTGCAGTAGAGGGGTAGGGCTCAGGTGGCCCAAGACGCACTAAGTGCCATAAAGACGTGTAATAAGAAATGTCTACTCAAGAGAGTTTCTCTTCTAAATAGACAAGTCAGAAATAAAAGAATAGGATCTTTGGCACAGCAAAGACAAGCATATCTTCCTGGTTCAGAGCTGTGCTGCCTAATTTCAGAGCTTTAAAGAGCGTGGTGGTGATCACAGAATCATAGAATCATAGAATAGTTTGGGTTGGAAAGGACCTTAAGATCATCCAGTTCCAACCCCCCTGCCATGGGCAAGGGACACCTCACACTAAACCGTGGCACCCAAGGCTCTGTCCAACCTGGCCTTGAACACTGCCAGGGATGGAGCATTCACAACTTCCCTGGGCAACCCATTCCAGTGCCTCAGCACCTCACAGTAAAGAACTTCTTCCTTATATCCAGTCTAAACTTCCCCTGTTTCAGTTTTAACCCGTTACCCCTTGTCCTATCACTACAGTCCCTAATGAAGAGTCCCTCCCCAGCATCCCTATAGGCCCCCTTGAGGTACTGGAAGGCTGCTATGAGCAGCTATGATCAGAGCCTCAATGATCTATTCTCTCATGGAGCCTCACAAGCGCTTGCCAAACAACCCCACTTTTGTTTTCTTTGAGGCTTTCTGACCTGCTATCTGAAGAGCTCATGTGTAATTGTTACTGAAACATGGTACTGTTAATACAAAAGTTGCTTTCCTCCACTAACCCTGGCACTGTTGTGATTTTGTTTGTGACAGATATGCCAAGAATTCAACAGCACGTGGGCTTGGGAGATGGAAAAGAAAGGATACCTGGAAATGAGCGTTGAATGCAAACTGGGGATTCTGAAGGTACTCATTCATCAGCTGAGGTGCTGAAGGACTTCTTCCTTGCTCACTTAAATATCTTGGAGCTTTGGCTTTCTCACTCACTTCAACAGCTTGCATATTTAGCTTGACTGAGCCATAAGTAGATACATTAAATATAGATCTCCTCTTGTGCCAGGCATCAGATTCATTTGAGTGGAATAGGCCCAAACTGAACACTGCATACTTTTTGCCCTTTGTATGGAAGCTGGTTTGCACTGACTGTTCTGTCAGCGTCTCTGTGCCTGTGCAGTGCACTTGAAGATGTTCATTAGCTTGTTGAGTTCCAAAGCCAAAGATGGGCCTTCAAGTCCTGAGGAAGCTCTCAGGGTTGCTTCCAAGTTTGGGGATATGGCTCGTTGTAGAATGAGATTATTTGGAGTAGGTAAAAGAAAACAGTTACAAATACGCTTTCTAAGCTGGAAAAATAAACCCAAACCCCAAAACTTCTTTCATTTCAAACCAGCATGGTCTGGAAAACACCCCCCTGGTAGCTCAAACTCACAGATATGATAGAAAGAGACCTAAAAAGAAGCTCCAAATGACTGATTTTCTTATTTCTGTCTGTATTTTGACATTTGAGCAGTCTCCCTCATCTCTCCCTTTCCCAGTATCTCTGTGAATGTCAGTTTGATGATAACCTCAAGTTCAAGAATATCATTAATGAGGAGGATGCTGATGCCATGCGCCTTCAGCCCATCGGTCGTGACAAGGATGGCCTCATGTACTGGTATCAGCTGGATCAAGAGCATAACGTCAGGATGTACATAGAAGAGCAGGATGACCAGGATGGATCCACTTGGAAGTGCATTGTTAGGTATTCCTTTTTTATTTCCCCTTTATTTTTCCTTATTTGATAGGGATTTTCAGCCATTTGTGACTGTCTCAGAAATGTGTGGTAATAACTCCATTTCTCATGGAGCAGGATTCCTGACGGTGGGATTCTCTGCCTTCACATGTATGTGTTGGTAACAGCCAATGTGTAATGTGTTTCTGCTTAAGCTATAAAGGAGATACGGAAGGGCAGCAGGATACAGGCGAAGCTCCTGGCAGCTTCTCACAGCAGCCACCACTGTAGTCCCCTGCTTTTGGAAATGTCACTTGAATGATGTGGTTGTTCCTGTTGGAGCAGAAAACTGCAACTTCCTCTCCACTGAGAGGGCAAAAGCAACTGGAAAGCAGTCAGTGAGGATGGGTAAGAGGATAATACAGAAAAGAATAGTAGCAGCTCACATCCAGACTTGAGAGGGCTTTAGATGAGATGGAAAAGGTCCTTCCCCCAAAGGAGGTATTTCATTTTGGTATGGATAAACTGGGAGGCTTCTGACTATGAAGGATCAGCCACTGGTGGGACAGGCGTTTTGCTGTGGTTGTGTATTTGGTTTTCAGGGCAGGGCTCATTTAAGCAGATGGTGTTTGTTTATTTGATATGAATCCCTTTGGGCTGAGCAAGTGGCTTATCAGATAATATGGGGTTTAATTCTGTCATCTAGGAACCGCAATGAGCTCGCTGAGACCCTGGAGCTGCTGAAGGCACAGATTGATCCTGCCCTGTTGAAACCCAGCAATGCTCAGCAGGAGAATTCATCCCGTGAAAGCCCCAGCATAGAAGATGAAGACACCAAAAAGGGTGCAGAAGCATCTACACAAGGTTTTCTGCCTTCTTTTCTCAAGTTTTCAGTGTTGTGCTATGGCAATGTAAAGAGTTCTCAACTTCCTGAAAAGTTACTGTGTTAGAGCAGGACTTGTTAAAGAAAATCAACCCACAGAACCTGTTTCTGTTCAAAGTAAATCCAGTAAATCACAGAATCAACCAGGTTGGAAAAGCCCTTTAAGCTCACCCAGTCCAACCGTTCCCCAGCACTGCCAAGGCCACCACTGCCCCATGGCACTGAGGCCTCGTCTCCATGGGGTGTGAACCCTTGCAGGGACGGTGACTGCAGCCCTGCCCTGGGCAGCCTGTTCCAATGCCTGAGCACCCTCTGGGGCAGGAATTGTTCCTCAGCTCCATCTAAACCTGCCCTGGTGCAGCTTGAGGCCGTTTCCTCTTGTCCCATCCCTTGTTCCTTGGGAGCAGAGCCCAGCCCCTCCTGGCTCCATCCTCCTCTCAGGCACTTGTAGGCAGCCATCAGGTCCCCCCTGAGCCTTCTCTTCTCCAGACTGAACCCCCCAGGTGCCTCAGCCCTTCCCCATCACACGTGTGCTCCAGGCCCTTCAGCTCCGTTGCCCTTCAGTATTGAGTACTTTGAAATGATAAATATTTCTGCAGGGTATTTCATGCATATTTAGGCTCAGGCGTTTATTTATGAGGAGTTTTTTATTTTTGCTGTACGTGCTCATCATTGTATGTTTTTGGGGGGGCATTGAATTATTGCCAAACTTTACATGTTCTAGCAACATTAAAACTTAAAAAGAAAAATACCTTTGTGCAATGCCATGTTTGAAATCAAGACATCATTGGGTGCACTGCTTCCTTTTCCTTTTGAGTTTGAATCAAGAAAATACAGGTTATATCCTCCAGTGTTTCACAATCAACATGATTTTTCAAGAATCATAGAATCACAGAACGCTTTGGGTTGGAAAGGACCTTAAGATCATCCAGTTCCAACCCCTGCCATGGGCAGGGACACCTTCCACTAGAGCAACTTTCTCCAAGCCCCTGTGTCCAACCTGGCCTTGAACACTGCCAGGGATGGGGCATCCACAGCTTCCCTGGGCAACCCATTCCAGTGCCTCACCACCCTCACAGGAAAGAACTTCTTATATCCAATCTAAACTTCCCCTGTTTCAGTTTGAACCCGTTACCCCTTGTCCTATCACTACAGTCCCTGATGAAGAGTCCCTCCCCAGCATCCTTGCAGCCCCCTTCAGACACTGGAAGCTGCTCTGAGGTCTCCACGCAGCTTCTCTTCTCCAGGCTGAACAGCCCCAACTTTCTCAGCCTGTCTTCATACAGGAGCTGCTCCAGCCCCTGATCATCCTCATGGCCTCCTCTGGACTTGCTCCAACAGCTCCATGTCCTTCTTATGTTGAGGACTCCAGAACTCAACATGAGTTTAATTGTAATGATTTAAAATACTCAAATGTTTTAGAAGTGAAGTGGTCCTTGGCTTTCTCCCCTGCATTGCTGTTATTAGCAAAGAACCTTTATTCCTTCTTTATTATAATGTCATTGCACATACATATTAATGGGCCTAATTTGTTGCTGTGTGTGTTGCTTTTAGCAAGTATTTGTCAACCTGAAGTACTTTATTTTGCAAGATGTGCTCTGTTCTCAGGTTATGGAAAGCTAAAAGCTGCTTATCCAAAGTAACTCCGCCCCAGTTACAACCTGGTGTTACCAAAATGCAAGATGTTTTCACAATCAGAGAGAAGAATTAAGGGTTTCAGTGTGTTAGGATGTGTTCCTTCTAAACCTAAGTTAATTTGGTATATGAAATTAGCCAAAGCCTGCCTTGGTTCTGGGTATCAAAGGGAAAGGCTTGCTTTTTTTTTCTCATTCTTTCTAACAAACAGTGTAGAGCAGAAGAAATAAAACATCTAGGTAACACTGAAGTGGTTGTGGAAGCATTAAAAGACTAATGTAGAAATGGCAGGGAATTGGGATGCGCTCCAGCAGGTTTCTTTTCCAGTCTAAGGCTTTTCCAGTGTGTTACTCTGCATTTAAGTGACAACACAACCTGTGTGGTTACCAACACTGCAGAATGAATTCCAAGTACTGATCTTGCCTGTGTCTCACATCATGTTGATGCAGAATCACTCCTGGGCACTGGTCCCGTGTATGGAATGAATGATGAAGTGATGGATACATGCACAGTCACAAAGCACTGCTCAGAGCCTCTCAGTTGAGAAGCTTTAGTGTTTCTTCCTAGTAGTCCAAACACCTCACACAAAGCTCTTCCGTGGTACAGTGGAAACCTACTGGAAGTCCTGATACCCGTTTGATCTTTCCACTTCCTACATCATAGAATCAGAATGGTTTGGGTTGGAAAGGACCTTAAGGTCATCCAGTTCCAACTCTCTGCCATGGACAGGGACACCTTGCACTAAACCATGTTACCCAAGACTCCATAGTGTTAAAGCAGGAAGATCAACTGACCCAATGCTTGCATCTACTTTACCAGCCTGAGGAATCGACTCAAGTGGTGCTGAGAGGCCTTGTGCACCAGCTAAGTCAGTTTGTGTGTCTGAAACACTTTATGAACAGTTTGGGGAGTTAAACTATAGCCTGTGGCTGTTTAACTACGGACAACTACAGCTGTTGAGTTTTGGTGTAGAGGAGATTTGGGATTCTGGTGCTCCTTGATGAAGTCTGGGAGAAAGCCTGAGGTGAAGGGAAGAAATGGTTGAACAGAGTTGAAGAAGAGGTACATGAAAAGAGGGTGGAAGAAGTTGGACACAGAAAAATGACCTCAATTCTCACCATTACGGACAAATGGCTTTAAAGAGGCAGTTTTTGTGCTACAAGGGATCAGAACGGGAAGCACTCCTCTGAAAGGGAAAAGACCAGCTTTGAGCCTTCCGAATGTTTCCGCTCCGGGTTTCATCTTCCACTGCTGTGCTGGCTGCTGAGACTTACATAAATGCATGCTTTGTGTTTGAAAATGTTACCAGTTCTATTCTTCCTCCCTACACATAGAATCCAGACTGGTTTGGGTAGGAAAGGACCTAAAGCTCATCCAGTTCCAGCCCAATGCCACGGGCAGGGACCCCTTCCACTGGAGCAGCTTGCTCCAAGCCCCTGTGTCCAACCTGGCCTTGAACACTGCCAGGGATGGGGCAGCCACAGCTTCTCTGGGCACCCTGTGCCAGCGCCTCAGCACCCTCACAGGGAAGAGCTTCTGCCTAAGAGCTCACCTCGGACAGTTGAATGTCTTCTCTTTTCTCTGAACGGCTCGGGGCTGATTTCCATGTGGAATTTCACTTGAAGACCATGGATTCCTCCACCACGTTCTAGTTTGTGAATGAATTCAGGAACTCAAGCAGGACTTCAAGCTGATGCTCCACGTGTCCCTTTTATGTACCCTCTGAAACCATTGTGCGAGTGTTGAAAGGACTGGGATGGCTGTTTAAAGAAGGTTAAATGCAGAATTCTGCTGCTAGCTTCTGCAATTTCAGTTTATTTTGGTGTATAATTAAGCTGAACTGTGATTCTATAGCTAAAAATTCACATCCCGTTCATTTAATGACAGTGTTAGACTGGGCAGACCCCTGGGTATTCAATGAGAGAAGATTCATTTGGGGGGGGGGGTGTCTGTTGTTGGATGTTTTATATCTGCCTTGGTTTTGATGGGTGCTCTTTGTGACCCTGTAGGTCCTGTGGGTGATTCATAGTTGTTTTTCTGTCAACAGAAAATCAAGTGAAAATCAAAGAAGAGAAAGAAGAGGTAGAGGAACAGGTGATGGAATCAGAAACACTCCCTCTTCCTGCGCTCAAAGAAGATGAAAACACCCTGAAAATGGAGAAAGTGGAAGAAAAAGAAATCATCAAGTTGCCAGTAATAGTAAAATTAGAGAAGGCTTCAGAATACGCTGAAGAAAAGCAAACTGTCAAAGAGGAAAGTGACTCCTTCAAAGAAAACGTCAAGCCCGTTAAAGCCGAGGTGAAGGAGAACAAAATAGAGTCAAAAGACTTAAAAGAAGTCAAAAGCTGCACGGATAAAATGGCAGTGCACGAGCCTGAGAGGTTAGAATTTTGTGTTAATGTCAAAACTCCCCAAGAAATAGTGGAGAAGTCAGTGGAAGACAGTGAGAAGCTGAAAAATGACCAGCAGGCCAAAATACCGCTTAAGAAGCGAGAGATCAAGCTGACGGATGACTATGACAGTCCAATCAAGGGGCCTCTGTGTAAGTGTGTGACTCCAACAAAGGATGTCTTGAAGGAAGAAGGGAAACCTGAAGAAGAAGCTTTTAAGAGAGTCCCTACAATCACTGCTTTATGTCCTGATGGGAAAGTGCTGGTGAATGGAGAGGTGAGCTGCGAAAAGCTAACCCCAAGCGTCATACAGAATAACAAGCCGGAGCACTCTGCTGGTGCAAAGGAAGAGAGCAGCTCCTTGAAGGAGAAAAATGGGAAGAGTGGGGAAAAGGGGTCAGAGTCCCTGAACTCTGTTAGTAGAATCATCAAAGCGGGTGAGGTGGAGAAGAACGCAGTGGCTGTGCCGAAGGAGATCGGGGCTGCGGGCTCCGAGGCTTCTAATCAGAAAGTGCCTTTAAAGGAGGAATCGAGTCCTGCGGAGAAGGAGCCCCCTGACAGCACAGCCACTGACGTGGTAGTGGAAGAGCCTTTGAACCCTGAAGCCTGTGCCAAACCAAGTGAAGAGAAACCAGCCACAAACATCAAGCAGGAGAGACTCTCGCCACCCAAAGAATGCTTAGAGAAGGTAGAGAAGTCCCCACCTGCATCTGCTGCTGCAGAGCTGCCCAACCCAGCACTGACTGATGAAGAGCCTTTGAAAGGGAAAGGTGAGTCTGAGGAGAGAGCTGCCTCTCCAAAAGCTGCTGCCACACCCCCTGCGCCTGCTTCTCCTGCTGCTTTAGAGAGCTCTGGTTTGGAAAAGGAGGGCTCTGAAAGTAAAACGCCTCAACCTGAGCAGAGCAAAGAGGAAAGATCCAGCCCTGAAAAACAAGAGGAGGAGCCAGAAGCTGCCAAGCCAGAGCCACATAGATCAGATGATGCCCATGCTTCGAGTCTAGAAGACTCCTCGGAGAGTAAAAAGGATGCTCCAGTTCCTAAAAGCAAGTTTAAATATAAGCTAGTGTCTGAAGAAGAAAGCTGCGCGACAGATAACAAAGAAATCACTTCTGAAAGGCAGAAAGAAGGGATTAAATTAACCATCAGGATCTCCAGTCGGAAGAGGAAGGCAGAAACGCCGCCAGAAGAGGTCAGCATTGGCCGCACGTTGAGGAGATCTCCAAGGATATCCAAGCCCACTCCAAAGGTTGTGGAGACTCGGGATCAGAAAACGGACAAAAAGCGACAGGAGGAGGAGGAGGAGAAACCTGCAGCAGCACAAAAACCGGAACGGAAAGAAGATGCAAAGAAACAAGAGAAGGAATCAAATTCCAAGGTTAACAAGGTAATACCTTGTTTTGTTACCCGGCAGTAAAGAACACCCCGAGGCTTACCTGTAAGGATATGCACTTACGTAGGAGTATTGAGGATTATGTTCCTTTTGTGAGCTTTAGAAGGAAAGTAGCTTTGCACTCCAGTTAGTGGAGTCAGCCATAGCATCATAGAATCATAGGGTGGTTTGGGTTGGAAGGGACCTTAAAGCTCCTCCAGCTCCCACCCCTGCCACGGGCAGGGACACCTTCCACTAGAGCAGCTTGCTCCAAGCCCCTGTGTCCAACCTGGCCTTGAACACTGCCAGGGATGGGGCAGCCACAGCTTCTTCTCTGGGCACCCTGTGCCAGCGCCTCAGCACCCTTAATGTAAAGAATTTCTTCCTTATCTCCAACCTGAACTTCCCCTGTTTCAGTTTGAACCCATCACCCCTTGTCCTATCACTCCAGTCCCTAGTGAAGAGTCCCTCTCCAACATCCTTGCAGCCCCCTTCAGACCCTGGAAGCTGCTCTGAGGTCTCCACACAGCTTCTCTTCTCCAGCCCCAACTTTCTCAGCCTGTTTTCTTATGGAAGATGCTCCTTGAGAGTTTCTTCCTGCAGGGAGATAGGAATTTCTCTCCGTGCATTACCGGGTTGCATTTGAAGGCTCTTTGACAAGACACTTTGTGCAGTGCTCTGTGCTAAATTCAGCTGTTGTGATGGAAATGAATCTGTTCGGTGTAGACACAAGTATTGTATGTGATCTGTGAGAGCTTCCTTCGTGCTTCCCTTTGCTGTGTCTCGTAGAGAAGCAAAGTTCGGTGGACGGGTACGAGGACACGCGGCCGGTGGAAATACTCAAGCAACGATGAAAGCGAGGCCTCAGAGAGTGAAAAAAACTCGGAGGAGGAGGAGGAAGAGGAAGAGGAGGAGGAAGAAGAAGCTGCCCCTGCTGATGACGATGAGCCGTGCAAGAAGTGTGGCCTTCCCAATCACCCTGAGCTGGTAGGCTTCTGGGGCGAGCTGCTGTCGGGTGTTGTGTGGATGTGGTGGATTGGATTTGGTGGTGTCAAAGGGGCATCGTTCTCTGGCGTGGCTCTTGAGAGAATCCTTTCTAGGTTTTAGGTGGTAAACTCCTGGTAGTAAATGAGTTTGCCTTTAATAAGAAGGGAAGTGATTTATTCTGTTTATCACCTCTCAATTGTTGTCTTTTGTGACATGTAACACAATTTAGTCCATTGAGAATTAGCCTGGGTGAGGCTTTGAGCTTGTGCCTCTCAAGTGAAAGCAGGGGAGACAACATCAAAAAGCCCAGCAGTGTAAAAGTGTGTCCTTTCCAGTGTCTTCTGACATGGTCACAGCTCCATAGTCATCCTCATTGGATAGAGCTGCACATCACCCTGGCTACTGGGTACAGCAAAACCCCATACAGGAAGAGCACCTTGAGCTTTCACTCTTCCTGGTACACGTTTCTCATTCATCAGTGGTAGCCATCATCACAAATTCCTCTGTTCACCTGGGAAATCCTAATGTCCTGCTATAAATCCACAAAACAAGCCTACTCTGAGGGGTGTGACAGATATCCTAGCATAGCTGAGACAAGGTTTCACCTTTAGGAGTTAGACATAAATAGTATATACTCACACAGCTTTTACCAGCTTTAATGGAAAGGGATGTCTCCAGTTATACCCAGGTAAATATGAACTTCCGTAGTTGCCTGGTTCTTTATGCCCCTACTTTGTCTCTACTGTTGAGGACATAAAATCATCCTGACTTGAGGAATAACCAGGGTTGCTTTGTGTGGATATGAGTGCACAGGGAAAACAGTTCATACCGCTTCGTGTCCAGATGGAGTTTTCCACTTCATCTGGGATCTTGAAAGTATTACCACATTCCATGCCATGCTACAATCTACATAGTCCAGTAGTACTAAGTGCCTGAGAACACATAAGCAGAGGAAATCTGGTGTTAAAATGGAAAACTGTGATACATAAACTGCCCCATAAAACCCACTCCCGGCCCTGGAAGCCTCCAGTGAGAGGTGATACAGGATTCTGGGAGGTTTTGGTGCAGTCCAAGCTATTTATGAAGTGCTTCTGTGTCGGCTGCAGAAGTGGTTCTGGAGCTCGTTACATGTGGATGCCAAAAGATGCTCATGGCTCGTTTTGTTTCCACAGATTTTGTTGTGTGACTCCTGTGACAGTGGGTACCACACAGCCTGCCTTCGCCCTCCCTTGATGATCATCCCTGATGGAGAGTGGTTCTGCCCACCCTGCCAGCATGTATGGTTCCTGTTCAGCTTCACTCTTCTGCTCTTCAGCTTTTATCTGACTTCTGTTAAAACATAGGTGGTGATGAGTGGTGGGGATGGTGATGTTAGAGAATCACAGACTGGTTTGGGTTGGAGGGGACCTTAAAGCTCATCCAGTTCCAACCCCTGCCACGGGTGGGGACACTTTCCACTAAAGCAGCTTGCTCCAAGCCCCTGTGTCCAACCTGGCCTTGAACACTGGCAGGGATGGGGCAGCCACAGCTTCCATCTTGCCCATTATTAAACCTGACTTCTGTGAGGTGGTTTTCCCTTCCCTTTCATTTTCTGCTAGTGGTGACTGTGGTGCTGATGGGAATTTCCAACCATGCTGGTCTTCTCCCATCTTTGGCTCAGTGGCCAAAGCGAGCAGCTGTTTCTCAGTGCTGGTCCTTCTTCAGAGACATATGCTCAGGAGCTGGGTAAAGAAAGCTGCTGTTTCTAATGAGTCTCACAGCATAGTTTGCCTCTGCTGGCAAAGCCTGAATTGTCCTTGTCAAGTAACAGACAAGCATGAACATGTTCTTGAAGGTTAGAAATTGCTTCTGCCAAAAGATAATAGGTGCATGGGTCTGGTTTCATTTAAAGGACATCTAAGCCAGCCAGACTTGCAGGGGTAAGGCAGGGAGTGTGTGTTCCTGTTCTTGGTAAATTGATGGAGAACCATTGATGCACATGTTCAGAGTAATCTGCCTGATTCCCAAACCCCTTTCCTTGCTTTTAGGAAGATCCCTTGCCAAAAGCCCTGTAAAAAGCCACACTGGACGTGACACGATGTGGTGCCACCGAGCAGTGATTTTTAGTTGTATTTAGGAGAAGTTTAAGTAATGATAATCTTAACTGTATAATAGTGTTTTCTTTACCCAGTTTGGGATGGCAGCTGGTAGTTAGAGCATCTCACTGCTCTGTTGGTTTTTAGTGATTTTTAAGAGGAGAAATGACAGGTTTGTAAAAGCATGAAGATCATCCTTGGAAAGGGTACGATGAGGGCATTAACATGGAACAAAAGACAGTTTGTCCATGAAGAGTCACTTTCATACTCAAGGACCCATATATAAAGTGGTGTAGTAAGATATTTGGTAACAAAAGGACCCTGAAGTGTATTTCCACTTTTTATTGTGCTGTCCACAGTCTCTTGTGTTCTCCAAAGATTAAGATAAGGGCCAAACAGGTACCACTGTGTGTGCATGTTATGTATGGCTATGAAATCCTCTGTGCCAAAGCTGTAAATACCAACAAAAATGAGGTGCTGATTTAGAAGTGTTGATTCCAAACCTCTTGCTTTAGGCACGTTGCTTCTGACAGTAAATGCCAGTTACTGGGAGGATGCATGGCTGTAGCAGCTCATGGTGGAGCATAAGTGCTTTAGGGAGATGGTCTTTGTTGTCCTCATCGAAGAGGTGCCTCCAGTGTAGCAAAGAACTCACCCTTCTTCTGGATGAATATAGAAGTAGTGACTGAGCCATCTGAACATGAAAACAGTTGGTATGAACGAAACTCATATTGTGTTTAAATCCCTCAGAAATTACTCTGTGAGAAGTTGGAAGAACAATTACAAGATCTGGACGTGGTCTTAAAGAAGAAGGAGCGTGCAGAGCGCAGGTACTGCTGTGTGGTTGTGTTCACAGCGAGTGCTCTGCAGAGGGGTGGTGATACCTGAATGAGCTGTGTGAAACAGCTGGGAAGTGGTAAGGCCAGGTTTGACTTCCCACTCGGTGGTGGTGGTGCAGTGCTGGGAATAGGCCCAATAATTGGGAAAAACAAGCAAATACATTTGTATTTAAGTTTCTCTAAGGTGCCAGAACACGAATTTGGCTTTCTCATACCTGTAGGTAACTGGTTCAGCTGCATGTGTCAGTTATATTGTCAGCCCAGTGTACAGCTCCTGCTGTAAGCAAAGTTAAGTCATGGAGTCATAGAACCCCAGGCTGCTGTGGGTTGAAGGGACCTTACAGCTCATCCAGTTCCAACCCCCTGCCACGGGCAGGGACCCCTTCCACTGGAGCAGCTTGCTCCAAGCCCCATCCAAAGTCCAAACTTTGCTACAAAGATCCAGATTAATGTGGGGGTTGAGTCTTTTTGCTTTAGATTCTGTTAAACTTTGCCAAGTTGACAAGATTCTGCAGTTGCTGTAGTCCCATCTGTCATCATAGCTGTTTCCAAAGCAGCTTGACTTGATCTTTGTTCAGACTCTTCTCCTCTGGCAAAGAATTGCTACATAGGCCCTTATTTCATAGACTCATGTAAGGGTTTGGGTTGGAAGGGACCTTAAAGATCATGCAGTTCCACCCCCCCCACTCCCAGGACAAGTTTGTTCCCTGGTGTTTCTGGAATTGATTGTTCCTGCCCAGGTCTAAAACCTGGCACGTGTCCATTTGGAATTGCATCCTGTCATTTTTCCAGATCAGTGTGATTTTGAGTTCCCGTTTTATCTTTCAGTGCCTCCAAAGTTATAGAATCCCAGCCTGGTTTGGGTTGGAAGGGACCTTAATGCTCATCCAGTCCCAACCCCTGCCGTGGGCAGGGACCCCTTCCACTAGAGCAGCTTGCTCCAAGGCCCTGTGTCCAACCTGGCCTTGAACACTGCCAGGGATGGGGCGGCCACAGCTTCTCTGGGCACCCTGTGCCAGTGCCTCAGCACCCTCAGAGTCTAGTTGGTCGTGGTTATGGATCTGACCACATAATCTTGATCACAACATTACTGTCTTTCAGTTGTTTAATTGCCTTTTACACCTCACTTCGATCACTTCTGTGTTGGCTGCAATCTTCAAGTACTGTTTGTCAGAACTCTGTGGAATCTCCCACATTATGCAGGCAGGAAAATGTAATCATAGGAGATTTAGCACATAATTCCAACTAAAATAACTGATTTCAGTTGGAACATCCTCTTGGGATGCTTCTGCCTAGAGATGGCACGAGCTTCAAACAGTGCTAATTCGATACATCTACAGTCTGTAAGTTCATTTTCCCTTTTCCTCTCCTAAAGGAAAGAGCGGTTGGTCTACGTGGGGATCAGTATTGAGAACATCATCCCACCTCAGGTAAGTTACTGTGTCTGTGTCAGAGTATTGGTTTATATCCCAAGTTTCTCAGGGCAGCCGTTCCTCAGTGGTGCATTACGAGGTGATGTAGCATCTTGGGAAGAAAAATCCATCTCTATGGAGGTCAGAACTAACTGTAGTCCCTTTGGTTTAGATTGAATTTAGCTGGGAAACCAAGGGAGCTTCGTGGTGTGTGTTAGAGCCAAGTGGTGCCCTGCAGAGTCCTCTGTCAGTGGAGGATACAGAATCACCTCCCTGCCCATTGCAGGTCTATAGGTTATAAAGGTGGGATTGCATTTATTTAACCCTGGTGTTTGCTGTGTAATTATCCAGGTCTAATTGTCATGGAATGGATGGGAACAAATGTTCCTGGCTTGTGATTCCAAGGGAATATGCCGTGTGTATTAGAAGCGTAACGTTTGCCTCCCTCAAATGTGGATTGAACTCGTGGTTATAAACATTTAGGGGTTTATTAACATGCTTTTATAGGGTTTCCATTTACAGAGGAGGAAATCTGGGTTTATTCACGTGGAAAACAGCTTCTTCTCACTTCTTAGACACATTTTAAAGTGATTCACTTGAAGTCTTTGCCAGAGGCCTTTGTCTGAAGTGGTAGAAACTGTTCTTTGCATGAGAGCTCAAACTGAGACTGCGTTTTGGTTTAAACATAGACTTTCCACTCCAATTGGCTGTAATAAAGCTAACTTTCTCCCCCGATGGATCATAGGAATTATCCCTATCATGAGCTCAGGCACAGTGGGTGTGGAGGGAGGGGGGAGATGAAGCTTTTTGACCCTTGTGTCTTATGTGAACAGGAGCCAGAAATACCCGAAGGTCACGAAGAGAAGAAGAAAGATTCCAAAAAGCCCAAATCAAAGCTGCTTGAAAGGAGATCCACCCGAACCCGCAAGTGCATAAGCTACAGGTCAGCACCTTGTAGAGCAAAGAGAAGTCAAACTTGGTTTCTTTATAAGCGCTGCTTCACCTGCACACTGGTACATTTAAAGGAGAGGCCCAACTAAAGAGGGTTTTGTTCTTTCCTCTCAATGCTGGTTAAGGTTAGTGGTTGCAAAAGCATCTGAGGTGCTGTAGCAAAGGCATGAGGTAGGAAAAGAAATGCATGTGGTGCTTTGCTCAGGAATACTGGAGAAGGTTTGGGTGTTGCTGCAGTTCCTGCAGTAAGTTAAAGCAGGTGAATCAAATCTCTCCTTTTGGTTGAAAGGGAAACTTATGCTTGTGTCTAAAAACCTTAAATTCCTCTTTCCAACCCCCCCTTAGGGCTTTTTGACATAGAAGCATAGACTGGTTTGGGTTGGAAAGAACCTTAAGATCATCCAGTTTCATCCCCCTGCCATGGGCAGGGAAACCACACACTAGACCGTGTCACCCAAGGCTCTGTCCAGCATGAAAGTGGCATGAAACAGAACGTGCAGTGATGAGACAGTTCATCTAAAAATTGTCTGTACCTGTTCAGAGGAACTGTGATAGTAAAAATGCAATTAGTAAATGAAAGTTCCAGGATATTGGAACAGGTCCCAGATTGGAAGGGACTTCAGGGATCATCTGCTCCAACCATTCGAGGCAAAGCATGACCTAGACTAGGTGTCCCAGCACCCTGTCCAGCCCAGTCTTAACAGTGCCCAGCACTGGGGAGTCACCACTTCCCTGGGGACATGATTCCAGCAGCTGGTTGTCCTCAGTGTGGAAAATTTCCCTCTTGTGTCCAGTGGGAATCTCCCCAGCAATAAGTCGTGCCCATCACCCCTTGTCTTCTCCATGGGACTCCTTGTCAAAAGGGAGTCTCCATCTTCTTTGTAGCCATCCTTTAACTCCTGGCACATGGATCAGGTCTCCCTGAGCCTTCTCTTCTCCAGCTGAACAGTCCCAGCTTCCTCAGCCTTTCCTCACTGCTGCCCAGCCCTTGGATCATCTTTGTGGCCCTTCTCTGGCCCCTCTCCAGCCCATCCACACCGGTTTTGTGCAGCAGGACCAAAACTGAACACAGTATTCCAGGGGTGGAAAACTGACAAGCACTGAGCACAGTGAGACAAGGACATCTTTATCTCTGCTGGTGATGTCCTTGTTGATGTTTCCCAGCATTCTGTTGCCTTTGCTGCATCTGCTCACTGTTCACTCCTATGGAGCTTGTGTCCCCCAGGTCCTCTCCCATAGAGCTGCCCCAGCGGGGCAGATCCCAGCCTGTGCTGCACTCCGGGGATTGGGTTTCCCAAATCCAAGTCATGTTTCATACGATGTTTTTCTGATACAGAATGATAGAGTATTTCTTACAGACTCCATCCTACACCTAACTTAGAGCTGCTGAAAACACTACACCTGTCAGTGATTCACTTCACATTTACATGTCCACAGTGAAGTCCCACTGGTGTCACTGACAATCGTGTATGCTTTCCTTCAGCAGGGAAATGCCTTACTCTGCTGACAGACAGATGTGTATCGTGTGGCACTGTGTTCTCTCGAGACATGTAATCCCTTTGTATCCCTCGAGTGAGCTGTCGAGTCCTCTGAGCAGTTAGCAAAGATCTGCTGCATGAAGACGGCAGCAGCAGAAGCAATGGTCCATTGCACCTCATGGGCAAGCTGTTGTCAGCTCGTGTTGGAGCTCAGGGTGTTTGGTAGCAGTGATCTGAAAGCATCAAGTGATTTCTTACATTTTAAAGAGGTTGGGTTTTTAGTGGTGTGGAGGGGAAATGGGGGTTGGAGTGATGTGGAACTAATGTTATTGATGGCATAGTTCCACTTACTGCCTTGGGGTGTAAACCTGCCTTGCACACCACATGCCATTATTCTTAGGGAATATATAAAGAGACCAGAAATCCATCACATTACTTTTAAATGAGGACGTGGTTTATGCTTGTTATTGGAATACAGAGTAATACTGGAGTTGTTCTTCTGCTGTTCTGCTGGAGGAGAAATATCACTGTAATCTTTCTTTTGTGACTGAGAAACTGAATCTTTAATGAAAGTCTTGTCCAGTTGTCAGTGTTTGTATTTAAAACATTAGGGTTTTAAATATGAGGAGAAAATCTTGCATCTAAATAACACAGAATCATAGAACAGAGTTGGAAAGGACCTTAAGATCATCCAGTTCCAATCCCCCTGCCATGGGCAGGGACACCTCACACTAAACCATGGCACCCAAGGCTTTGACCAACCTGGCCTTGAACACTGCCAGGGATGGAGCATTCACAACTTCTCTGGGCAACCCATTCCAGTGCCTCAGCACCCTCACAGTAAAGAACTTCTTCCTTATATCCAATCTAAACTTCTCCTGTTTCATTTTGAACCCATCACCCCTTGTCCTGTCACTACAGTCCCTAATGAAGAGTCCCTCCCCAGCATCCTTGCAGCCCCCTTCAGACACTGGAAGCTGCTCTGAGGTCTCCACGCAGCTTCTCTTCTCCAGGCTGAACAGCCCCAACTTTCTCAGCCTGTCTCCATACAGGAGCTGCTCCAGCCCCTGATCATCCTTGTGGCCTCCTCTGGACTTGTTCCAACAGTTCCATGTCCTTTTTATGTTGAGGACACCAGAACTGCACACAATGCTGCAGGTGAGGTCTCACAAGAGCAGAGCAGAGGGGCAGGATCACCTCCTTCGACCTGCTGGTCACGCTCCTTTTGATGCAGCCCAGGATACGGTTGCTTTCTGGGCTGCAAGCACACACTGCCTGCTGTAGTCCATAAAATGTCAACTTTTGCATGCTAGATGTCAAGACATCTATGTGGTGATACAGGGAATGGTCCTTTTTGGTGGGATTTGACTGGAGAAACAAACTGAAATCATCTGTATGAAAGCATTGAATCATTTTCCCTCCAAGTGCTGTTCCCTTTAAATGAGTAACTCATTGTGCAGAGATTCAGGTGGTTTTATAGACGTTGCTGCTTGACAAACACAAATATTGAATACAATCATGGAATGGTTTGGGTTGACGGGACCTCAGAGCTCATCCAGTTTCAACCCCCTGCTATGGTCAGTGGCACCTTCCACTAGAGCAGATTTGGCTTTTGGTTCTTCTCTTTAGTTCTGTAACATTACAGCTTATTTGTATATAATTACAAAGTTTAAACTGAAACAGGGGGAGTTCAGGTTAGATGTAAGGCAGAAGCTCTTCCCTGTGAGGGTGCTGAGGCGCTGGCACAGGGTGCCCAGAGAAGCTGTGGCTGCCCCATCCCTGGCAGTGTTCAAGGCCAGGTTGGACACAGGGGCTTGGAGCAAGCTGCTCTAGTGGAAGGGGTCCCTGCCTGTGGCACGGGTTGGAACTGGATGAGCTTTAAGGTCCCTTCAACCCAAACCAGTCTGGGATTCTGTGATTCAGTGGTACTGTGTACAATATGTTTTATCTGTTCAGCTTGGGAGGGTACAGATCCATAAAGTAAAATGCCCATGAGCTTAAAGAGGAGCTCAGAGCTCTCTGAAATAAGGTTTCAAGGAAGATTCAGACAGCATGAATCATTTTCCTTTGACTTTAATGGTGCTTAAAAGTCTCTCTTGCAGATTGGTGTTTGTGTGTCTTCTGATGAAAGGTGTGGAATAAATGACTGATGCTTTGTGTGAAAAATGCCACTGAGAGCATCTTATAGAGCACTGCAGTTATATATTGTTAAATTCAGTGGGGTGTCATGCAAAGGGAGGGTGGTTTTCTGTTCACATACATAGTAGTAAGACAGCCAGGCAATGGTAAATAAGCTGTTAGCAAGTAGAAATAGACCCCACACCTTTAAGAAGTGGCTATTTGATCATCAACCAGCTCATTACCTTTGTTATTTTATATCCAGCCCATTGTGCACTGTGATTTCTTAGAGCAGTTTTACATAAGTATGTTTTCATAGTATAATTTAATCAGGATTCACTTCAGAGTGGTAAATGAAAGCTGTTCCTTTTAGGTTTGATGAATTTGATGAGGCAATTGATGAAGCCATTGAAGATGATATCAAGGAGGCTGACGGAGGAGGTATGTTACTGATGCTGTTCGGTTTTCATTGCAGTGGTGATAATGGTTGAGATTTATTTTATTATGAGCAGCCACAAATAGCATCCTCTCCCTTAAACTCCATGATTTACAGATTATACTGCTGTACTTTTGGAATCAAATGAAATCATTTGCCTTGGGAATGGCCATCTCAGGCTGCCAAAATGTATTTGGTCTTGCTAGTTAAATTGAGCTTGTACATTCAATATATGAATGCAATGGATAAGCATGACAAGAAAACCCTTATAATTCATTTGCTAGGGTTTCGATTAGAGACTGGGGTGGCAGCTTGTGCTGTTGGCATTTGTCCCCTGTCAAAACTGGGGTCTGCAGTTGGGCCCCCTGAAACCTGGGTCTCCAAAGTCATCTTAAATATTGATAAGCTCTATAAGCACTTCTCAGTTGAACATGAATAGAGTGGAATTATGTTCTTGGAGGCCTATTAAGGTGACATAGAGGACCAAAAGGGAGATCTTCACTAGTATCTGGCAGTGCAGGTGGATTTGTGCTTCTGCATCACCTCAGCTTGCTGGAGAAAGCTCCCATGAAAGCCTTATCCCTCAGTTCCTTGGCTTGTGGCATCTCCACCAAGACACCAGTTTTCAGAAGCTTGGTGGATGCACATGGGCAGTCAGTAAATCAGGTGTCTGAGGGTGTGTGACACAAGATCCATACAGTAGACACAACTAAGTCTCAACAGTAAAACCAGCCCTGCAGAACCCCAGTCTGTGGCCAAACCACAACTTAAACACTTCATCTCCCAAGAGGGATATTGAGCATTATGATGAAGGTGTGTTTTCTGACATCTGCCCTACTCAAAAGGCACTGGCAATTGGTAATAGTGTGGGTTGGGTTGAGTGTCAGAATGCTGACACCCTCTATGTGGACCTCAGTATGTCCAAGTGACCACAGGGTGGTCGAGACAGAGCGCTGCATGATAAATACCCTGCTTTAAAGAGAATAGCTGAAACTGGAGGCATGGGAGGAAGATACCTATAAAGTTAAACAAAACCTAAACTTGCTCTTTTCCCCCCTTTCTCTCACTGAATTCAGGTATTGGCAGAGGCAAAGACATGTCCAATATCACAGGTCACCGTGGAAAAGACATTTCCACAATCCTAGAGGAGGAAAGGAAAGAAAACAAGCGACCACAAAGGGCTGCTGTGGCACGGCGCAAGAAACGACGGCGACTGAATGACCTGGACAGCGACAGCAACCTGGATGAGGAGGAGAGTGAAGAGGAATTCAAGATCAGTGATGGGTAGGTCTGATTTAACCCCTACCACAACTGCTACAGCCTCCTGTGTCTCTGAAGTGCCTCTGAAACAATGATTAGGAGCCCGGTGCTGGAGTGGCACTGCACAGTGCCAGCAGAAGTGTTCCTGACCTAAGGGAATGTCACTGTGCTGGAAAAGCAGCACCCAGATCCATGCACTGAGATCATCCCATCTGTATTTTAAGCAAAACATGTTCTGGAAATGTTACTGGTGTGTTTGAGGCTGTGCTGTGGTGTTCTGGACGTGGTTATCTTAGTGAAGGAGCAGATGGGCCCAGTTCTCTGATAGAATCATGGAATTATTTAGGTTGGGAAAGACTTTAAGATGACCAAGTCCAACCATTCCCCAGCACTGCCAAGGCCACCACTGCCCCATGGCACTGAGGCCTCGTCTCCATGGGGTGTGAACACTTCCAGGGCCGGTGACTGCAGCCCTGCCCTGGGCAGCCTGTTCCAATGCCTGAGCACCCTCTGGGGCAGGAATTGTTCCTCAGCTCCATCTAAACCTGCCCTGGTGCAGCTTGAGGCCGTTTCCTCTTGTCCCATCCCTTGTTCCTTGGGAGCAGAGCCCAGCCCCTCCTGGCTCCATCCTCCTCTCAGGCACTTGTAGGCAGCCATCAGGTCCCCCCTGAGCCTTCTTTTCTCCACACTGAACCCCCCAGGTCCCTCAGCCCTTCCCCATCACACTTGGGCTCCAGGCCCTGCACCAGCTCCGTTGCCCTTCTCTGGCCCTGCTTCAGCACCTCAGTGTCCCTCTTGTAATGTTGTTATGATGTGACCCTCCAGCAGAAATCCTTAACAGAGACGTAGCTAAAATGGGGCTGGCTGTTTCCTTTTGGAAATATGCCCAATTTATGGGATTATTCTTGGGACTGATTGAAAATCAGAAGAGGAAAATGTCCCCATTTAGAGCATACACACCTTGACATGCAGGTTCTGAACTCAATTCCTGCTTTCTGCTTTCTAGGAGGTAAGAGTTTGAAAACAGCCAGAGAAGCAGTTTGTACTATAGGAAACCAATACATGTGAAGCTTTAAACACTAAATGAGTATTGCTCTGGCTGACTGAAACTCTTTTTCTGTGAAATTCCTCATCATTCCGTCTGGGAAATGCCTGACATTAACAAAATTAATACTAATCTTGGACATTCTTTATGCCTCAGTGAAGGCACTTAATGGAGCATGAGGCCTGGGCTTTTTAGCATCAACATTTAAAGCTGTACACCTCTCACCGTGTCAGTTTACTAAGTGTGTGGATAATGTATACAACACAGATGCAGTCTGGAGCTTTGTTTTCCACCCATGATCGTGCTGAGGACATGAATGTGCTGAGTTAAATGTGCTGGACATTTCCAGTCAATGAGGGTAGAAGTAATAGTGCATTGATCAGGTAAAGTGTGCTCATGCATTGTCAGCTCCCTCCTCTGCTGAATGTCTGCTGGATCTATGTTGGGATTTACATTCAGCTGGTGGCCAAATGCAGGGGACTGTGAACTGCAGTGCCTAATGGTGGTTAAAAAAGCATTGGCTCACTTTGGAAATGACAGGAATGTCAGAAGTTGATCAGGCTGAGATGCATGTTTTACATGAGAGCAGCAGCTTTGTGTTCAAATACCACAGAACCATAGAATGGTTTGGGTTAGAAGGGGCCTTAAAGTTCATCCAGTTCCAACCCCTGCCACAGGCAAGGACCCCTTCCACTAGAGCAGCTTGCTCCAAGCCCCTGTGTCCAACCTGGCCTTGAACACTGCCAGGGATGGGGCAGCCACAGCTTCTCTGGGCACCCTGTGCCAGCGCCTCAGCACCCTCACAGGGAAGAGCTTCTGCCTCAGAGCTCAGCTCAGTCTCCCCTCGGGCAGGTTAAAGCCATTCCCCTTGGCCTGTCCCTACAGGCCCTTGTCCCAAGCCCCTCTCCAGCTTTCCTGCAGCCCCTTTAGGCACTGGAGCTGCTCTAAGGTCTCCCCTTCAGGAGCCTTCTCTTCTCCAGGCTCCATCCAGTCTCCCCCAGCCTGTGTTTATGCTGGGGTTCACCCTGACCCAGGGGCAGGACCCTGCACTTGGTCTTATTGAACCTCATGATGTTTGCATGGGAAATTCTGCATACACGGATATATTTCATGGATAGATCTTTAATGACAGATATATTTTGCATCTATCACTTGTAAACTCCAAGTTCTGTTTCCAATATCTACCTGTGTTCTCTGTGGTCTTTCTTTGACCAGATCTCAGGACGAGTTTGTTATATCAGAGGAGAACCTGGATGAGAGTGAAGATGACCCCCCGTCAAACGAAGACAGCGATTCCGAGTTCTGTGCCCGCATCTCCAGGCGACACCTCTCCAGGCCCATGAGGCAAAGCAGGAGGTTACGAAGGAAAACAGTCAAGAAAAAATACTCTGAAGATGATGAAGATGAAGATTCTGAGGAGAATTCAAGCAGAGAATCTGGTGAGTAGAAGAAATCTTTGCCATATTCAGTACTCAAGAGGGGAAGAGTGGAAGTCTGTGTTTGCTGGCATGACTGACATGAACCTGTTGGCTTGCTTTGGTCAAGTCAGATGTCATCTTCGCTGTAAAGCAGTTTGCTACCTGTTGGGCTGTGAATATTCTGCAGGAAGCTGGGCTCTGGGTGCTTGCTTGTTCAGCAGTTATGTATTAAAATGGAAGCTTGTGTCTTTGTGGACAGTTACAGCTACCCCATACCTTCCAGCTGGGCACATGAGTGCAGGGAAGAGAAATGGTGGTGTCAAAATATGCTTCATAGCTACACAAAAACCTTCCCATCACCTTTGAAAAAGCTTCTGAAAGAAACATTTTCCCTCTGTTTGTATGGAAGAAAATTCCTTCACTTGTATGGCATTCGAGTTCTGGCTCGAAAGCCAATGATAACACCTTGAATCTCTCTCCCATAATTATCCTTTTTGATCTTTAGTAACTGAAGACTCTTCCATTGCAGGAGAACTTTATTCACTTTATTTTGCTTGTCCTTCAAGCAGATTGCTTTCTGTTTGTGCAGTCTGAAGTGTGAGAATAGTACCTATGAGATACTTAAACCTTTTCCTGACTTGCATCTTCCTCTGAGGACTGCCCTCCTTGTTTCTGCTTCATTCGAGACCCAGTCCTGGAAAGCACCAGATACATAAGCACTTACTTTGACTTACTGTGAATATAAGGTACTAAGTACACTGGAGTGTTAACTTATTGCAGTGTGTGTTACCTTCCCAGTGGTGTATCTGCCTCTCTAGAACAGAGATGAATATGTTGGAGTATTGGTTTCCAAAAGGAGGGTTCGTGCACGGAGGGATGAAGTTAGCTACATGCACTTAAAAGAGTTGCTGTCTCCCTGCCCTGAGTGCATCTAATCATAACCTGTTCCCAGTGAAGATATTGGCAGAAGTCTAAAGTAACTTCTATATCTATAGCACACAGCAGCAAGTACTGTTTCCTGGTGGACAGACAGCTGTGGTAAACCCAGCTGATTCCAGTGTCATTCCATATGTATCCAAGAGTTAACAATGTGTTTCTGTCTTTCACCCCCTTCGTGGTCCCCCAGGATACTGCTTTAAGCCTATTTTGAGCTAAGGAACTAAGGTTCCCTGTGAGTGGCTTTGTTTCCAGTCTCCAGTGATGGAGTTTCTTCCTTAAGGTGGTTCTTGTTGGCTTGCTCTGATTCTTCCTCTAATGCTTGAGGAAGTAAAGAGGATGCCACTTTGATCAGTGACTCCTGGCAATCACTAAGGAGCAGTATGTGACACTTACAGACCTGTGTTCTGCAGTAATGGTTGTGGCACAGTGAAAAAGCTGATTCAAGTTAAAGCTGATTCAAGGCTATTTAATGCTTGAAGGCAGTAGGTGCAGTAGACTGGTGTAGGAAGAGCTGTGGGTGCTGGTAAGTGTCCTATGTACAGCTTCTGGTTTAAGCAAACTTATGCTCTAGGGAGACTGATGCTTGTTGTTACTTTCAATTTTATAACTAATTTATTTACATTTCAGAAGCAGAAAGGACTTCCCAGGGTAATGTGCATCATCAGCTCCAATCCAGTAAGGTTGTTTCAACTCTCAGGAACTGTAGAGGAGGCATCTTTTGACTCCAGTAGGGATGAAGGAATAAAAACACTGGAAGGAAAGCACCTTCTGGAGGAGTTTGAGGGAGGCAGGAAAAGGCTTTGTGAGAAGATCTGGAAATCATAGAATCATGCAATGGTTTGGGTTGAAGGGACCTTAAAGCTCATCCAGTTCCAACCCCTGCCATGGGCAGGGACACCTTCCATTAGAGCAGCTTGCTCCAAGCCCCTTTGTCGAGCCTGGCCTTGAACACTGCCAGGGATGAGGCAACATCAGCAATTCTGTGCTGGTGATGAATAGGGAGACTGAGGCATGCGCCTGGAATGGGTCAGAATAATGAGCCTCCTGTGCTGGGAGAGCACATGGAGTTACTGGTGCTGGTCTAAAGCTCATCTAAGTTGTTTTGCTTTAATGGAATAACACAGGCTGCTGTTTCCTTCTGCACAGAGAGCGGTGATTACACAGATTACAGCGACGATGATTACCTGGAAACCAGGAGGAGAAGATCACGACGGAATCAGAAGAGACAAGTCAATTATAAGGAGGATTCTGAAAGTGATGGCTCACAGAAGAGTGTCCGATACGGGAAGGAGTTAAGGAGAGTCCATAAACGCCGGCTCTCCACTTCGGACAGTGAAGGTAAAACGAACAGTCCTCTCTTTGCAGCAGCTGGTCTAGGTCAGCAGGAGCATGAAGAGAAAACTGTACATAAAACAGCTTTTGGAGACTGTTCCTTCTAGAGTTCCTTAATGTTTCAGTCCACTGGTACTTTATGGTTCACCGTTACAATCACAGCATAGGCATCGGTGTCCCTTCCAGGTCTGAGTTTACTGAGTCTGGCACAGAGTGCTGAGATTCCAAAACTGGCTTTTGGAATCTCAAACTTGTTTCACCACTTCTCTGTTAAGAGGTCACAAAGCTTCATCCCGTGAGCCTTTAAAGATTCTCTTTTGTAAGGGAAAGGGTGTTACTTCTGGTGCCCTGAGTGTGTGTGTGCTCATGGTTAAGACTCATTCCATCTGCTGTTTGAAGGAGCTTTGGGAAGCATGGAGAAGCACATCTCAGTAATGTCAGTCACACATGAGTAACCACTGTGCATTTTGATGTAAAATCAGCTATTGCAGAAGCAAGCACTGATGTTGGGTGCCCTTCATTCTGGGTGCCAGCTTCTGAGACCTCGGATCTGGCTATTAGAGACACGGAGCAATACAGGGTGCAATAGCTGCCAGGCAGCCTCAGCGAATCAGCTGTGCTTGACAGGGTGAACACCTGATTTGTAGGTAGTTTTTGACCTGAGTTTACAGTGTTAGAGTTGGCTCTTAGATGAAGGGAAACAAGCAGGTAATGCAACTGTACAGTATCTTCTGAGCCCCCCCCCCTGCAGCCCTGATCCAGCTCTGGGGCAGCAGCACAAGAGGGACGTGGAGCTGTTGGAGCAAGGCCAGAGGAGGCCATGGAGATGCTGTGAGGGCTGGAGCAGCTCTGCTCTGGAGCCAGGCTGAGAGAGCTGGGCTGGGGCAGCCTGGAGAAGAGAAGGCTCCTGAAGGGGAGACCTGAGAGCAGCTCCAGTGCCTGAAGGGGCTGCAGGAAAGCTGGAGAGGGGCTTTGGACAAGGGCCTGTAGGGACAGGCCAAGGGGAATGGCTTGAACCTGCCAGAGGGGAGACTGAGATGAGCTCTTAGGCAGAAGCTCTTCCCTGTGAGGGTGCTGAGGCGCTGGCACAGGGTGCCCAGAGAAGCTGTGGCTGCCCCATCCCTGGAACTAGATCAGGGATGCAGATCTGTTATTCCTGGCTTGCAGTTACCACTTTTAGGGGGAATTACACCCACTTCCAAAGCCTTAGATTGGAAACAGAATATCACAGAATCATAGAATGGTTTGGGTTGGAAAGGACCTTAAAATCATCCAGTTCTACTCCTCTGCCATGGCCAGGGACACCTCACACTAAACCATGGCACCCAAGGCTCTGTCCAACCTGGCCTTGAACACCACCAGGGATGGAGCATTCAGAACTTCCTTGGGCAACCCATTCCAGTGCCTCAGCACCCTCACAGTAAAGAACTTCTTCCTTACATCCAATCTAAACCTCCCCTGTTTAAGTTTTAACTCGTTAGCCCTTGTCCTGTCACTGCAGTCCAACAGATTGTTGTCTTTGCTTCCTGAGCAGTTTATTTAAACAGTAAAAAGCCTGGAAGAGTTCTGAGTTGGTTGGGGAAGGAGACAGAAATGTGTGTGGTGAGCGAGATGTGGCTTTTTAATGCATGTGAAAGATGAAGACTAGATAGTGTGATGGTTCTGGCTGTACTCACTTGCTAATGGCTTTAAGTCTGCTGCTTCTTCCAGAGAGCTACACATCGAAGAACTCTGAAGATGACGAATCCACAAAGGAGTCCAAGCGATTGATCCGGAAGCGCCGGCGAAGTACAGACGACTACAGTGAGGAGGAAGGGGAGGAGGAGGAGGAGGACGAGGGGCGGCCTGTCCGCAAACGGCTCAACCGGATCGAAACGGACGAGGAAGACACCCTTGAAAACACCAACGATGACACCGAGAAACCTGCTCCTGCGAACAAGCTGCCAGCAGCACAGGCTCCTCAAGACAACAGCAAGAAGCACTGCTACCGGATAGAGAGCGACGACGAAGATGACTTTGATAACGTAGGGAAAGTAGAGAGCCCTTTGGACTACAGCCTGGTGGATTTGCCTTCCACCAACGGACAGAGCCCAGGGAAAACCATTGAGAACTTGATTGGGAAGCCAGCTGAGAAGACCCAAGCCCCCAAGGACAGCACAGCCAGCGCCAGCCTGGCGCCCAACGGCACGGGGAGCGGGCAGGAGGCGGTAGGGCCGGAGGAAGATGAAGATGAACTCTTGCGAGTGACTGACCTTGTTGATTACGTCTGTAACAGTGAACAGTTATAAGACTTCCATTTTTTGTGCTAATTTATTCCACGGTAGCTCATACCAGCGGGCCAGTTCTTAAAAGCTCTTTTATTTTTCCTAGAAAACTCGCCACTACAGTATCACTTTTTAGAAGCAAGAATTTCACCAGTCCTGCAGTCTTTCTGTGAAGTGACCAGTTTTGAACTCTGAAGATGAATTGCTGTAAAGTCCCTCTCTCTTTACCCCTTCCTCCCCTTTCTCCTTCCAAGTCCATGGTCCTGGGTAATTTCACTCACAAAAACCTTATAACAACAAGAGATTTGTATATTTTTGACTTTATATTTCCTTGAGTGCATACAAATTTGTGGAAATGGGTGGCCTAAGAAAGCATTCCAAATCGGTCAGGGCCCAAACCGGAGCTGGGGTGGGTTTGGCTCAAAGCAAGGGGGGGGGGGTGGGGGGGGTGGGGTGGGAAGGGGTGGGTGCAGAAGCACTTGTGCTTTAGCTTTTTCATATGAGATATATATTATATTTAAATGTTCACAACTTAGATGACAACTTAACAGACAGTGAAAGATTAAATGTCTGTACTGTTGCATTTTGTGAGTTGTAGGTTAACAACCATAGCTCATTTTAGTAATCACCTTCATGGAGATGCAGTTTTGATTTTTGAATACTGGAGGCAAACAGAATCCTTAGAGGCCAAGAAGGTACCATAAACAAGAACTCTACTATCCATTATGACTTGCAGACTTTCCTAATAAACATCCTTTAAAGTGTTTGTACAGTAAAGTGTACTGTAATGAAGTTTTTGGCAGCCCAAACACTCTTGCCATCAGTCTCGAAAGCTGTCTCATCCGATGCTCCTCGATGCACAGTGTCTAGAGGGAGGATGTATCAAGGTGAAGCTATCTGTAAGCTGGATGGCATCTTGACGTGCTGGAAGCTTGTACAGACACAAAGAAGCCTGTAGCTGCCTGGCCGCTCGAGTTTCACCGTGTTGGAGTATTCCCAGCAAAATCCGTGCGTGCAAACAGCCGTGACCACCAGAATGACAGTGCATCAGAGGATTGAGGGATTTACAACTAAACCACCACTGGTCCATTCATGTCTTTAATATCTACTTCAAATTGAAGTAAACAAATGGAACAGTTTTCCTTTGGGAGGTTTTCTGTTTGGGGTTTGTGTGTGGTTTTTGTTTCGCTTTTACTTCTCTGCCTGGATGTTATTAGCGGGTTTTGAATGTAGCGTTGGCCTTTGGCCACTAGGGTTTCCTTAATCCATGTTAATAATTGTCCTGTGACCCAGCTGGTTTCAAGAAGGCAGTGTTTGTGAGAGAAAACCCTCGGCTCCAAGACATCCCATCGCCTTTTGAGTGGGCATGAAGTGATCTGTGCTTTTACTCAAGGATAAGACAACCCCAACCAACATGGGGCATATATACAGAGCTGATGTGGTTTGGGTAGCATTCAGCTTTCTCTTTACTCTGACTCCAGATGCAGGCTGTAGCATTTGCTGTAGCACACGGACAGCTCACATCTGCCAAACACTGCAACCCAACAAGGTCACATCTGTTAATCCTCTTGCTCTGAGACTGGGATTTTTGACTGGTGTTGATGTCCATTGCCGGCAATGGATGCACCAAAACTGCTGCTGCCACCGAGGAGTGAGTTCTCCTTCCCCACCCCATCCCCTTCCATTATATTGTATTTCCTAGTCAGTCATGAAGCACTTCTGTTCTCTTGGCATTCAACTGGCATTAGGCCTTTACTAAATACCTCTCTAGAAAGCCTACATCCCCAAACTGCCTGCCTTCTGGCCTTTGTTGCCCCATCTCTTTCTATCCAAACCACTCTCTGACTCTTCCTCATCTGGGTTCCAGCAGTGCACATATCCTGCTGTAGAGCTAGAATCAGATGGAACTCACTATCTGCTGTGCTAAGCAAGCTTGTACCTTAAATGAGAAATCACTCTAAATGAGAACCTGATTCCATTACAGATTAACTCTTTTCCCACCTTACTGCTGTTAACTAAGCTTTCATTCCTAAAACAGGGTAATGAAAAGCCACAGAAGCGTAGGATGAAGTTCTAAAGAGCCTGTTGTAGCATTTTAAGCTACTCTAGTGGTTTTCTTTGCTTAAGTGATGCATAAATGTAGTGCTGCTACGTTTCTAATACACTTACGTTTTAAACCAAGCAAGAACATAGTTTCTGCTTCTCAATGTTCATTTCTAATACTTGCCATGGAAACTGGTCCATGTGCAAGTGATGGATTCTCGTTTGTTTTGGCAGTGCCATAATCTCTTTTGCTGCCTGATGGAGCCTTTTAGGATCTGATCAGTGCTGTAGCAAACGTTCTTGCCTCTAGAGTCATCCCAGATGTTAAATACATGGTGTGTGAGTAATTGTGAACATAGGAAGATACAAAAGGGTTGAGATACTGAATATACCAACCAGGAGGATACCGAGTTAGGGACTGATGTCAAAGTGGGAAAGACCAGGAAGCAGAGTTGGAGCATTGAAGCTTACATCAGGAATGTCATGTTTTAAAAGCAGGGAATGACAAGTTGTGTCCAAGTTTCACTTCTCAAAACCCAGCTTTTCTCTCTTCTAAGAAGTCACCTGTGGTACCTGAGACAGCTTCATCTCTCTGGGATCCAGAGTTCCCTCTTATACCAGTGGGAACGTTGGGTGAGTTGGAACTGCAGGAAATGCCCTTCAGAAAGTCCTAGCAGCTTCAGAGTCTTCTTTCATTTCTCTCTAAGGGAAATGTACATTCTCCTGTTTGGAAAGATGCCATTTTCAGGGTTCACCCTGTGATAGTGTGTGTATGTGATTCCAGAGTGGAAATGTCCTCCTGGGGTCCCCACAATCTGGTGCTCTTCTCTGTACTTACGAGATCAGAGGTTAAATGCTTTAGGTAATGATCTTCAGGTGGCTTTGGCCCAACAGAAGGCTCAAAACCCGTAAGAGAATTAGGGATTACTTTACCATAATGGATTTAAAAGTACAACAGCTCTCAGCTGAATGCACAAAGCATTTATTCCACACAGGTTGTCTACTAAAAGCTTTAACTACAAACTCTTTGTAGTGTAACCAAGGGGGGAGAAAGGGAATTGATGTCTCTGTGCAGGTTAAGTAGCACTGGTGAGGGGAAGAACCTGTACATTGAGTGGAGAAATGGACTTTTTTGTGTCACCAAGATAAACGATGGCCGTTCATGTGCAGCTCGTGTGACTGTGAGCAACAGTAATGAACGTGGTGTGTTCGTGTAACCAGAGGGTGGTAGAACAAGGAACTTGGTTTCACCACAGTTGCCTTCTAGTTATTGACTCTTCTAAACCTGAGCATCTTCTTGGTTTAAACATGGAGAGTGATGACACTGAACTACCAAAACCCCCCGTAGTGTTGGAATCCTATAGGAAGGTCAGTGCTGAACAATTAACTCGTTGCCAGTTGGACTTTGTACGGCTTGAATTGTGTTGTGAAATGACTGCATCTTCCTGGGGTTTATTCTTTAATGGAAGGGTTTGCTCTGTTCTGACAGCACCTGAGATGCTTTTCCCCTAAACTGCTTGCTTATGAAGTGTGCATTAACGTGTCTCAGTTCCTCTTCCTACACAGGGGGTAATGGCTGAGCTGGGCTTGTTTCCTGTTCGTTCCTGTTTCTGATGGCTGTGTCTAAACCCTTGGTTAGAGACCATACTCACAGAACCTCAAGGGGAAAACACTGTGTTCACAAAAGCATAAACCATATGGCAGAAGTGCTCTGCTTTGTCTTCACCTTGGTCATTTGGGCTACATCGGTATCCAGCTGCTGTTTAACAGCTTGGATAGTTCATTGTCAGGGTGTCCATTCTACACCTCTGCTTTCAGGTGCTTATAACTTGTGTTTTTCAGTGCTCTTCAATAGCAAATCCTGGTCTCAACTTTCAAATCATTGTTTCAAATGCCATTATTTTCACTCACTTCTTTTAGGAAAAGGAATTTTTTATGGCATCTGCTTTTTAAATTCACTCTGTACACAGGAATTCCAAGAAATGCTGGCAGTGATGCCAGCCTCAGCGTGCTCTGCTGAAGAGATTTGTATCATCTCATTCAAAAGGGCAATGCACAGGCCTTGAAAATGGGGTTTGGTACATGTGCAGGGACTACTGTTCACTATTGTCGTATGGATATGATGTGCAGTGAGCAGCCAAGGTGTGTATGTACATTTGACATAGGCTCCCAGTTCACTGGGTATAGGAAACCTTAACTATATATAAATATATATATATATAAAAGATCAAATATCTTCAACCAGAACAGTCACTTTCTGAATGTAGTAGGGGAAAACTCCAGCAATTCATGTGAAGGAGCCCAACTGCAATTCCTTCAGTGCTTAAAGGAAGGAATGCATTTAGGATGCATTCCTGCCTTAGGAAGAGAAGCATTTAGGATGTTGTGTGAAGGATTTGCAGGACCAAGCCCACATATCCCAGTAGCCTTTTCTTCCTCCCTTTCCCTAAAGCAATAGGGACCGTAGCTCACTTAGAATGTTGGAAGGCAGAAAACAGTAAATCCAGCAGAAGTTATCCTTATTTTTTTTCCATTATATACTGATGTAAGGAATTCTATGACTGATTTTTGGTGCTTCATAGTTGAGTACCCCAGTGTGAGACCTATTCTGGCTTCAGGAATAGTTCTCAGCTGAAGCTGGACATGCAGCAGTTGGGGTATGGAAGCTTACTAATCACTGCTGAAAACACTCATCACTTACGAAGCTCGCTCTTTAGGTGTAAGTAACTGAGATAGTTCCAAACAGCAAAACCCCCATGTGCTTGGGACTTGGTTGTCCCAGTGCTTGAGAGTAATTTAACTTATTTTGTATATTGCAAAAGATGTATATTGCTGTGTATGACACTTAGAAGATTGTGTACAGCTTCTGGGGGAAAGAATAGAACACTCTAAAGTAGAGAAGAGGGGTTTATAATTGACTATGTGGTGTAAAGGCTCCGGATTGAACTGCAATGAAAAGCAAGTCCTACACCTTGGGTTTATGACTATCATTTTGTAAGGGCTGGCACCCCACACCCCAGCTGAGGAGCAGGATTGGGGACAGTAGAGCAGTTGGAGGGGACACGTGCTCAAGGAAGGCACGTGTGTCTGTGGATAGATCTGCTACTGCTCCATAGAACCCCAAAGGTTTCTAAGGAGAGCTGAGCAGAGCTGCTCTGGCCGGTCAGTTGGTTTACTTGCGCACTTGGCAGCACTTTGTGTATAGTCAGTCTCACTGGTTCCCCAGGTGCAGACAGAGCTTGCTCCTGCTGTTGGACCAGCAGCAGGAGATGGGGAATGGA